GTTTTCATGACGTGTGACGTGGCTAATTGGCCACTGAATATTAAAAAGAGACAGAATGTGGAACTTATCGGTTTTGAACTATGAAAAGGATGAGTTGACGATCGCTTGCTCATTTGGATGAATACAAGCGTCGCGTCATTGTTGTCTGGTCAGGATAACGAACGAACGGGTGCGTATAGTTAGAGGATCTGCAGAGTTCAGAATTTTCAAATAAGCCTCCGGTAAGCACCGAATGGAATCTATCAAATTATTGTACTTAATATGCAAATATTTGTTCAGCATCATCCCATATCAACAATAATTAAATAGAATTCTGCTGAGAATTCGAAAATCACAGCCGAATTTTGACAGAATCCTATTCTATACAGGAGAATTCAACATTCAACGTACTCGAGTTTCAACTGAACAAGATCTCAAAAGATATACATCTTTTTAACTCACTTCAACAATTCAAACTAGATCTCGAATACTTCGATCTCGTCTACAAAACAATACTTTAAGAAAAGGTATTCAGCTTCGCGGGACATGAAAGAAAATTTTTCAAGACTGTGGGCATTCTTCTGTTCGCTCACGTTGACTCGGTAATAGCTGGGGTAACGTTCTTGAAAGTAAAAAATACTTAAGCAAGGCAATTGTTTTTCATAACTATATTGATGCTAATAACACTTTTTGTTTCCTAACAGTTCAATGCAATAGAACGTTTGCTGCTCAAGTAACCTATTCATCTGGCTCTGGTCCATTTTCTGTAGCAGCAGCTGATGCCAATGGTGACAGCAAACTCGATATCATTGTTGCAAACTACGGTTCGAACAACGTTGGTGTTCTCCTCAACAATGGCGACGGCACGTTTGCTGCTCAAGTGACTTATTCAACTGGCTCTTCGCCGCGGTCTGTGGCAGCAGCCGATGTCAATGGAGACAGCAAACTCGATATTATTGTCGCAAACTACGTTTCAAACAACGTCGGTGTTCTCCTCAACAATGGCATTGGCACATTTGCTGCTCAAGTG